CCTTGAGAACTCCCGAGACAGGTCAAGCCCTTTAGCACTGAACTGTCACTAGACCAGGTCTTTTAAAGATGGACGTTCTGACCATTTGTTTTGTGAGTTTATCTCCGTGGCTTGTGACTGCTTTATAATGATATAATAGAATAGAAAAATCAAAGGCATGACATGTAGCAAAGGTATTATTTCTGACTTTTTTGTCTCAATGTGTGTTTATAAAAGTTACTTGGGATTATTTTATGTAATATATGCAATTGTGGCTCACCAATCAAGGTATTTGTTTTGAGGACAGAGTCTCACTCTGCCCATGCTGAGTTCACGGTGGCGTCAGCCTGCTCACAGCAACCTCAACTTCCTGGGCTCAGCATCCTCCCGCCTCTCTACCTCTCGAGTGCTGGTGTACTATCAGGCATCACACGTGCCCAGAGCCTCGACCTTCGCCTTCCCTGAGTGTGGATTGTCAGGTTGTGAGCTCGCATCGCTCTCTGCCACACAGGTCCATTCGATTATTTATTTCTATTTTTAGTAGATGGTGCTCTGTCCAGTCTGTCTCGAAACTCCGTAATGTTGAAGAGGATCTCTTCCTCCGCCTCCCAGAATCCAGGATTGCAGCGTGAGCCACCGGTCGCCGGGTGCCCTATCAATCAAGTTTCCTATCACCATTCCTGCTAGACCTCCAACCCCAGGAGAGCAGGGTGCTTCCTCTAGTTGCTGCCTTTCGCGTCGGGTCCCACGATTCTACTAATACCCCCGGATCTGTCTGGGTTCTCCGCTTGCCATCCTGAATGCTCGATAAACGACTCAGACTCACCTGGAGAATAAGTCGATGTCAGGCTTTCGGCTGTCCTCCTGGATCTGGCGCAGAGCTTGGAGAGCTGGGGAGATTCACCTGCAAGCTGGGTCACTCCTTGTGGCTTCTTGTGTAACTTCTCCCGCGAGGGAGAAGCTCCTCCAGGTGGCCCCTGGAGCCGGCCCCTCCTGCTCCACCAGAAGCCCGTAGAGCGCCTTGCGAACTCTGCCCCCATCCTTCTCTCTGCTCAGCCGCCTTTCTGCTTCGTGTCAGAGGAGAAGTCGGGAGGCATAGGGTCTTGGGCATGGAGCTATAACATTTGGACAGGCGCCTCTGAGTCGTCCCACGAGGGCAGGGCCCTCCCCTTCACGGACTGGGGCTCAGGGGCTCCCCAGCAACGAGCTTCTGCACAGCTTGTCTTTCTACACCGGCTTCTGTGTAGTGCAGGTCTCCACTCTCACGCCGGCTCTGCCGCCACAGGTGTGCGCTCCGTCATCTTTTGGACCTGAGCTCTCCGCCTAAACTAGGGTGCTTATTACTCCCCCAGGCGACCTGCTGTTGCCCCATTATGAAGACGCAAAGATAATTTAAAGTGGGCCATCATGACGACTAAACTAGATGCTTTTTTCCTCCCCAAAAAATTTATTTCATCAATTCCACAAACTTCGCTTTCCTTACTTTTTTTTGTTTTGGTTTTTGTATAATTGAGACAGGGTCTAAGCTCTGTGCCCATGGCGACGGTACAAGTGTATACGCGGCATAGTTGCCCTGAGCCCTCAAACTCCTGAGCTCAAGTGATCCTCCTCCTGCCTCAGCCTCTGGAGTAGCTAGGAATATAGGCGACCACCACCATGTCCTGCTAATTTTCATTAGCGTTGGAGACGCGGGGTCTTGTTATGTTGCCCAGGCTGGTCTCAAAGACTCCTGCTCAAAACTCCTTGGGCTCGAAGCTATCTCCCTGCCTGGGGGTCTCAGAAGGCGAGGGTATTATTGAGGTGAGTGCTGGGCCTAGTTCGCTTTTACTTTTCTTTTTTGACGAACAGTAGTCTCACTTTGTTGCCTGGCTTAGAGTGAGGGAGTCATGGCATGTTAAGCTGGTCGCTTCACTAGTACCGAAACTCCTGGGTCAGCATCCTCTTGCTCAAACTCCCGAGTAGGGTGGGAACTACGGTAATTTTTCCTCTTATATTAGTATGCCAATTTGACTTTTCTAATTTATAGTAGAAGATCGGGTTGGTTTTTAAGCTCTTGCTCAGGCTGGTTTGAACTCTGACCGTTGAGCGATACATCGCGCCTGGGCCTCCAGCAGTGCTAGGATTACAAGCGTGAAGCCACGCACCCGGCCTGGTCTGAGTTCTCTAATGGTCATCCTACGCCTCCCCAGGAGATAGACACGTGGAAAACAATATTTGCCATAAAACTCTCATAACTGGGGATGGCTTCCCGACCTCCACGCACCTTCTGACGTTTGGGGCCAGATCATTTCTTTTGCCGATGGAGGATGTGCTATGCTAGATTGTTAGCAGCACCTGTGGCAGTCTACGACTACATTGCTCAATTAGCACCCCATCCAGTGTGGGACAACGCCAAGCATATCCTCCAGACCATGCCAAGTGTTCCCTGGTTAAGAGCATTTTCAAATAAAAGTATTCCTTCTCCTTTTGATTGTGGCAACAGTAGGTTGTAGTCTACCTCATTTTTTCTTTTTCTTTTTTTTTTTTTGGGAGACAGAGTCTTACTGATTGCCCAGGGCTAGAGTGAGATGCCGTGGCGTCAGCCCTCGCCTCACAACGAACCTCCAACTCCTGGTGTCAAGTGATCCTCTGGCCTAGGCTCCCGTGGGTAAGCTGGGAACTGCGGGCATGCGCCCAACCCCTTCTAATATTTTTTCTATATATTTTAGTTGGCCAATTAATTTCTTCTATTTTCTTTGTAGAGATGGGGTCTCACTCTCTGCTTCAGGCTGGTTTTGAACTCCTGACCTTGAAGCAAATCCTCCTGCCTCAGCCTGCCCAGGAATGCGAGGATTCAGGCGTGAGCCACACCTGGCCTACCTCCTTCCTTCCTCCTTCCTCACTTCTTCCTTCCTTCTCTTCCTTCCTTCTTCTTCCTTCCTTCCTTCTTCCTTCCTTCCTTCCTTTTTCTTTTTTTTTGTTTCTTTGAGACAGAGTCTCACTTTGTTGCCAGTGCTAGGGTGAGTGCCATGGCCATCAGCGTAGCTCACAGGCAACCTCATCTGCTCCAGTCAAGCGATCCTCCTGCCTCAGCCTCCGAGTAGCTGGGACTACAAGCAGCGCCGACCATGCCCGGTATTATTTGTATATATATTTTTAGTGTCAATTAGTTTCTTTCGATTTGTATAGTAGAGACGGGGTCTCGCTCTTGCTCAGGCTGGTTTCTGAACTCCTGAACTCGAGCGATCGCCCGCTCCCCTCCCACAGTGCTAGGTATTGCACGCAGGCCAGCCCCCCCCCGCCGGCCCATTTCTTCATTAAAGCAGGTAACTTTTTGTATATAAAAAATGTGTGGCCTGGGAATGCGGGTGAAGGGTGGTTGGGGGAGGGCAGAGGTGGAAGGTGCGAGGATGGTTATGGTCTGGGAGTCGGCTCAGAGCCCCAGCGGCTGCCTGTGCGGTGGGAAGACCCTCTGGGTCACGGATGTAGCAGGGGCAGAGCTACACACGTGCCTCCACTCCTAGCAGAGGTGGCTGGACGCCGGTAATGGGTGGGCTCGCCTTTGTGGAGGGAAGTAGACGATCAGATGGGGAGGTCTGGGGCGCGCTCTGGGTGCAGCTGTAACAAATGCAGTTGGGGGGTAGGAAAGGACCTTTGGGGTTCAAGGGGGGAGGCGCCCAGAACTCAAGGGTCCTTCCCTGCTGCCTCCTCACACTGAGGATAGGACAGTGCTCAAGGGCCTCTTCTTCCTCCAGTTCCCAACTCCAGAGCTGAATGGCCCTGCCCTAACAGGCCTCAGTAGATCCTTTCACTCTTTCAGAACCTATTTATTCGGGCCGGGAGCCGTGGCTCACGCCTGTCATCCTAGCACTCTAGGGCCGAGGCGGAGGATCGCTCGGTCAGGAGTTCGAAACAGCCTGAGCAAGAGCGGAGGACCCCGTCTCTACATAAAATAGAAAAGAAATTAATGGCCAACTATATATAGAGGAAAAAATGAGCCGGGCTGATGGTGGTGCATGCCTGTAGTCCCAGCTACTGCGGAGGCTGGAGGCAGGAGGGATGCGATAGCCCAGGAGTTGGAGGTTGCTTGTGAGCGAGCTGACGCCAGGGCACTCACTCTAGCCTGGGCAACAAAGTGAGTCTCTGTCTCAAAAAAAAACAAAAACAAAAAAACAACACACCAATTATATGGGCTAGGAACTGGATTTGCAAGGTAGAAACTGACAGTCAGTGATGCATGTTGCCTACTGTAACCAACATGAGCCCATGTCACTCTCCTGTTCCACCCTAAGGAGTAAAGTATCATCCCAGTGGACCGGAGCAGACAGTGCCAGCAGGCTGGGCTGCTGCAGACCCAAGTCCCCAACCTCCTGCTCTCTGACAGAGCCAGGAGCAGCTCTGATACCCCCTGAACCCTTCCTCCCTTTGCCTCATTTCAAAAAAGAGAAACTCTGAAAATGGACATTTTTTTCACTCTCCTTTTGGTGACAAAACATGCCTTGAGCTGACATGAGGCTCTTTATTGTATTTATGTTCCCACTTAATATGAATATCCAGGGCCGCGCGGTGGCTGAAGCCTGTCATCCTAGCACTCTGGGAGGCCAAGGCAGGAGGATCACTCAAGGTCAGGAGTTTGAAACCAGCCTGAGTAAGAGGGAGACGCTGTCTCTTACTAAAATAGAAGAAATTAATTGGCCAACTAAAAATATATAGAAAAAATTAGCCAGGCATGTTGGGCATGCCGTAGTCCCAGCTACTCAGGAGGAGGCTGAAGCAGGAGGATGCTTGAGCCCGGGAGGTTGAGGTTGCTGGAGTCTAGGCTGCGCCACAGCACTCTGCCTGAGCAAAGAGTGAGCTCTGTCTCAAAAAAAAAAAAAAAGTTCTGGTTTGTACAATACATTGTATGGTCACCCTATATAATATGCACCCTATCATCTTCCTAAAATCTACCCTGCTCTTCCACAGCACACACTCCAACACCTGGCACACAGAGCCAGCCCAGGTGGCGGTGGCGGTCCTCTGCTGTCCCCCATGGGGCCCACCTGAGGGGTGCCTGGCTCACCAGGAGCTCCTTGCTCTCCTTCTCTTCCGAGGCCTGGAACACCTGGTAGTCTTCCAGCTCTTTCTTCAGGACCCGGAGCCTGGACTCCAAGAGCTCCTGCGCGGGAGAGGGGACGCGTCGTGGGGAGACTTCTGGGACCCCCGCACGTGCCTCCCTGGAGCCGCGCGGGAGAAAGGGAAGCCCCCAGTCCTGGAGGAGGGGCTGGGCCGAAGTCACCGCTGCACACCGGGCTGCGCACAGTCTGTGCAGGCTGCAGACACAGGTGCCGGGCGGCAGCAGGGCGACTCCAAGGGCCCCTGATCTTGCTTGCCCGCAGCGCAGCCCGCCTCGTCCTCTGCTCGGCTCTCCTCCCCACAACCAGAGGGAGGGAACGGGCTGGAGCAGGGTCGGGGAGCAAGGCGAGCCTGGGGCCGCGCTCACTCCGCCAGGCCCTCGCGAGCAGGAGGCGCCCCGAACCCGCCACCTTGGCGACGCTGGACACTCTGCTGAACCCGGAGCCCTGGAGCCCCAGTCCCGGGGCCCCTGGCGGGGCCTTCGCCCTCGGCCCCGCGGGCGGGGCTTGGAGCAGAGCCGCGCCCCGGTGAAAGAGAGGGGAGCGGGGCAGTGGGTGCGCGGGGGTCACGGAGGCTTCCCGGGAGGAGTGGCAGGCGCGCAGAGCGGGCTGGAGGCCGCGGATAGACAGCGAGAACGTCGCCAAGTTCGCGGGCGCGTCGCTCCTGGGGGGCCCCACGTCCGGCCCAGAGCGGGACCCAGGGGGAGCTTTGGGAAGGGACAGGGGAGGGCCGCGCGCATGGGACCTGGGGCAAGCCGGACGGGGAGCAAGGGAGGCAGGCTCGAGTGGCCCCCGCCGGCCTCCCCGGGGGGCGGCGGTCGGGGGCCCCGGGCGGTGGGGCCCGCGCTCACCTTGGCCTCCTGCACCGCCTCGTCGAGCGGCCAGCACGTGCGGTGCGCGCGGTGCTGCGTCGGGCGCTTGCGTGGTCCGCACACCCACGCAGATGGCGCGCCGTCGTCCTGGCGTTACAGGCTTGAGCGTCGCGTGCTGCGCGCAGCGGCGGCCGACGCGCGGCCGCCGCCTCCGGCCCGCGCTCCCCGAACGGGCGCGGGCAGCGGAAGCGCCGAGCATGCGCGGCACCGCCGCCAGCGGCCTGTTGGGCGCAGCTGCCCGGGGCGCGCGTGCTGCGCGGCGGCTGCGGGCGCATGTGGCATGGCTGCA